GGTCATGAAGGGCTTGGAGAAGTCGATCACCTTCTCGCGCTCGGCCGTGATGGTGAACGCGGCCACCGCCAGGTCGGCTTTCTGGGGGAGCCAAAAACACCCCTAAACGGGGGGTCAGGGACCCCAAAAAAAACCCAAAAAAACCCAAAAACAACCCCCGAAAACGGGGGGTCAGGGACCCCAAAAAAAACCCAAAACAACCCCAAAAAAACCCCAAAAAAAAACCAAAAACGGGGGGTCAGGGACCCCAAAACAACCTCAAAAACAGGGGGTCAGGAACTCCAAAACAACCCCAAAACAACCCCAAAAACGGGGGGTCAGGGACCCCAAAAAACCCCAAAACAACGCCAAAAAAAACCCAAAACAACCCAAAAACAACCCCAAAAAAAAACCAAAAAAACCCCCAAAAATGGGGCGTCAGGGACCCAAAAAACAACCCCAAAACAACGCCAAAACAACGCCAAAAACCCCCGAAAACGGGGGATCAGGGATCCAAAAAAAAACCCCAAAAATACCCAAAAACAACCCCGAAAAAACCCTGAAAACACCCCGAAAACGGGGGGTCAGGGACCCCAAAAACACCCCAAAACAACCCCAAAACAACCCCAAAACAACGCCAAAAAAAAAAACCAAACGGGGGGTCAGGGACCCAAAAAAAACCCCAAAAAAACCCAAAACCAACCCCAAAAACGGGGGGTCAGGGACCCCAAAAACACCCCCAAAACAACCCCAAAACAATGCCAAAAAAACCCCAAAATGCGGGGTCAGGGACCCCAAAAAACCCAAAAACAACCCCGAAAAAACCCCGAAAACAGGGGGTCAGGGACCCCAAAACAACCCCAAAAAAACCCCAAAACAACCCAAAAAAAACCCCAAAACAACGCCAAAAAAAACCCCCCAAAATGGGGGGGTCAGGGACCCCAAAACAGCCCCCAAAAAAACCCCCAAAAAAACCCCAAAAACGGGGGGTCAGGGACTCCAAAACAGGGGGTCAGGGACCCCAAAACAACCCCAAAAAACACCCAAAACCAACCCCGAAAAAAACCTGAAAACTGGGGGTCAGGAACACCAAAACAACCCCAAAACAACCCCAAAAACGGGGGGTCAGGGACCCCAAAACAGCCCCAAAAAAAACCCCAAAAAAACCCCAAAAACGGGGGGTCAGGAACTCCAAAACAACCCCAAAAAAAACCCCAAAACTGGGGGGATCAGGGACCCAAAAAAACCCCCAAAACAGCCCCGAAAAAAACCCAAGAAAATCCCCAAAAAAAACCCCAAAACAGGGGGTCAGGGACCCCAAAACAGCCCCGAAAAAAACCCAAGAAAATCCCCAAAAAAAACCCCAAAACTGGGGGGATCAGGGACCCAAAAAAACCCCCAAAACAGGGGGGTCAGGGACCCCCAAAAAAACCCCCAAAACAGGGGGGTCAGGGACCCCCAAAAAAACCCCCAAAACAGGGGGGTCAGGGACCCCCAAAAAAACCCCCAAAACAGGGGGGTCAGGGACCCCCAAAAAAACCCCCAAAACAGGGGGGTCAGGGACCCCCAAAAAAACCCCCAAAACAGGGGGGTCAGGGACCCCCAAAAAAACCCCCAAAACAGGGGGGTCAGGGACCCCCAAAAAAACCCCCAAAACAGGGGGGTCAGGGACCCCCAAAAAAACCCCCAAAACAGGGGGGTCAGGGACCCCCAAAAAAACCCCCAAAACAGGGGGGTCAGGGACCCCCAAAAAAACCCCCAAAACAGGGGGGTCAGGGACCCCCAAAAAAACCCAAAAAAACCCCAAAACAGGGGGGTCAGGGACCCCAAAACGACCCAAAAAATCCTGGGGATGAAAACCCCAAAAACCCCAAAAATGTGGGGTCAGACAGGAATGGGATTTTCCCAATGGGATTTTCCCTATAGGATTTCCATTATGGGATTTTTCCCTATGGGATTTTCTGTATGGGATTTTTCCCTATGGGATTTTTTTTTTACGGGATTTTTCCCAATGGGATTTCCCTTATGGGATTTCCCTTATGGGGTTTTTCTCTATGGGATTTTTTATGGGATTTTCCCAATGGGATTTTCTCTATAGGGTTTTCATTATGGGATTTCCCTTATGGGATTTTCCCTATGGGATTTTTCCCTATGGGATTTTCATTATGGGATTTCCTTTATGGGATTTCCGTTATGGGATTTTTCCCTTATGGGATTTTCCCAATGGGATTTTCCCTATGGGATTTTCATTATGGGATTTCCCTTACGGGTTTCCATTACAGGATTTCCCTTATGGGGTTTTCCTTGTACATTTTTTCCCAATGGGATTTTCACTATGGGATTTTTCCCAATGGGATTTCCATTATGGGATTTCCCTTATGGGATTTTTCCCTTTGGGATTTTTTCCCTATGGGATTTTTTTTACAGGATTTTTCCCTACGGGGTTTTTCCCAATGGGATTTTCTCTATAGGATTTTCATTATGGGATTTCCCTTACGGGTTTCCATTATGGGATTTCCCTTATGGGATTTTTCCCTTTGGGATTTTTTCCCTATGGGATTTTTTTTACAGGATTTTTCCCTACGGGGTTTTTCCCAATGGGATTTTCTCTATAGGATTTTCATTATGGGATTTCCCTTACGGGTTTCCATTATGGGATTTCCCTTATGGGATTTTTCCCTTTGGGATTTTTTCCCTATGGGATTTTTTTTACAGGATTTTTCCCTACGGGGTTTTTCCCAATGGGATTTTCTCTATAGGATTTTCATTATGGGATTTCCCTTACGGGTTTCCATTATGGGATTTCCCTTATGGGCTTTCTCCCTATGGGATTTCCGTTATGGGATTTCCATTATGGGATTTTCTTTATGGGATTTCCCTTACGGGTTTTCATTATGGGATTTTCTTTATGGGATTTTTCCCAATGGGATTTTTCCATTACGGGGTTTCCATTACGGGGTTGTTTCTCTCCGTACCCGGTTGATGAGCTCGCCCACCATGCCGGTCCAGGAGCCGCTGGGCTCCTTAGGGGATTTCCATTATGGGATTTTTCCCAATGGGATTTCCCTTATGGGATTTCCCTATGGGATTTTCCTTGTAGGATTTTCCCAATGGGATTTTTCCCTATGAGATTTCCTTTATGGGATTTTCCCTATAGGGGTTTTTCCCTATGGGATTTCCCGTATGGGATTTCCATTATGGGATTTCCCTTATGGGATTTTTCCCAATGGCATTTCCATTATGGGATTTTCCCTATGAGATTTCCTTTATGGGATTTTCCCTATAGGGGTTTTTCCCTATGGGGTTTTTCCTTATCGGATTTTCCTTGTGGGATTTTTCCCAATGGGATTTTCTCTATAGGATTTCCCTTATGGGATTTTCCTTAAGGGATTTTTCCCTATGGGATTTCCATTATGGGATTTCCATTATGGGATTGCCCTTATGGGATTTCCCTATGGGATTTTTCCCTATGGGATTTCCTTTATGGGATTTTCCTTACGGGATTTTTCCCTATGGGATTTCCCTTATGGGATTTCCATTATGGGATTTTCTTTATGGGATTTCCCTTACGGGTTTTCATTATGGGATTTTCTTTATGGGATTTTTCCCAATGGGATTTTTCCCAATGGGGTTTCCGTTACGGGGTTGTTTCTGGCCGTACCCGGTTGATGAGCTCGCCCACCATGCCGGTCCAGGAGCCCTTGGGCTCCTTTGGGGATTTCCCTTATGGGATTTCCCTATGGGATTTTTCCCAATGGGATTTTCTGTATGGGATTTTTCCCAATAGGATTTTTCCATTATGGAATTTTTCCCTGTGGGGTTTCTGGCCGTACCCGGTTGATGAGCTCGCCCACCATGCCGGTCCAGGAGCCGCTGGGCTCGGGCGCCCCGTAGAGCCCGTCCTCCACCAGCTTGATGTGGAAGCGGAACTTGAGCAGCGCCGCCAGCTCGCGCAGCATGTCCACGCAGAACCCCTCGTAGCGCTCGGGGCCGCCCGCGCCGCCCACGCGCATCACGTACGGGTTCTCCTGTGGGGTCGGGTTTGGGGTTTTGGGGTCGGTTATTGGGGTATTGGGGTCGGTTATTGGGGTTTGGGGTCGGTTTTGGGGTGTGGGATTGGTCACTGCAGTGTCCACGCAGAACCCCTCGTAGCGCTCGGGGCCGCCCGCGCCGTTATGGGGGTTTTGGGGTCGGTTATTGGGG